CGTGGGTGGGGGGATCCAAGAGTCAAGTAAGAATTTCTGGGCCTCAGGCCCACACGGGACCAGGACCAGCACCGAGAGAGGCTCAGGGCAAATCTGCTCATCTAGCGCCAAAGAGGGCCCAGCCACGGGGCAGAGGGCAAGCCCCTGTCCTCAGGGACACTGACCCCAAGGACCAAGGTTTAGCCATCAGGGGCTGCTCCTCATCTACACGCCCCACTCCAGGCCACTGAGTGCTGACATCCCTGCCACAAAGCCCTTGTCTGACGACAGGGAGAGAGGACCCAACTCTTATGGAGGCACAGAGAGGCTAAGGGAGCTGCCCACGGCCACACAGCATAGCAGGCCACCCCTCAGAGAGAAGCCTGTGCTCCCAAAGGCTCAGCCCTCCTTGTAGGGAGGGTGGGTGACTCTTGAGGCGGCACCGAAGGAGGGGGGACTCGGGTGACACAAGCTGTGGCACCCACCCCCAACACACACAGGAATCAGTACAGACTCCCTCAGCCCGCAAGCAGTGGTGTCCGACCTCATCCAGGAAACCCCCAAACCCAGAGCTGGACAAGGGAAGGGCTCCAAAAAGCTCGGGTGGGGGCCTCGAGCCAACCACAGGCTCCAGCTTCTGCCAGAGACTGGAGGGCTCCTGCTTCTGCCCTAACCTGCGGCCCACAGATGGGCTCCCCGGGGACAGGGTGGCCACCCTCAAGGGATGGGAGGCTGCAGGGCTGTCCTGGGCTTACAGACTCGCTGCACAGAGGACAATCCAGCCAGCCCCCTGCAAAGTTCCAAAAATGATCCTAACACTCTCACTCTGAAAGTCCCTGCTAGGAATTTACCCAAAGAAGGAAAAAGCTGTGAACACAAAGGAGGTCACCAGAGGATTGTTTATAAAGAGACAGACACTGGAAGATTTAAGTGGCCGGCAAGAGCTGTATTGGGATGGGGCTGCTCTTGCCAGACTGTCTACAGCCTCTAAATCCACCAGGGCTGAGGAGGAGTGCTTAAGGTGGCTGTTTTCTCGGGAACAGACTATAAAATTGTGGAGAGATCATGGTTGAAGCTCCAGGCAAGAGGCTCTGGACAGACAGAAACAGCTAACATGTCCATCTGAGACTCAGTTTGCTCATCTGTGAAATGGGGCTAACCCCACCTCCCCAACCTCAGCAGGTGAGGCTGAGACGTGATGATGGGCCCAGATGAGCACTCAAGTAGCAGCAATTAAAGCAAATCAAGGCAATGGTGCATCTGCCACACCTGAGACTGGCAAAAAAAAAAAAACTGAAAACACTTGATGCTGCTGGTGAGGATGAGGAAAATAAGCACCCGCCTCCACCTGCTACTGCCAGAGTAACCTGGCAGCGTCCTTGACAAACTTCAGCGCGTACACTGAGACCCAAGAATTTCACAAGGAACTTGACCTTTGCATGTGCTTGGACTATCAGGCCAAAATATGTTCATGACAGTGCAGGCTGTAAAAATTATAGACAAGACAGGGAGCAAGTATCCACCAGTAGAAGGGTTGCAGAAATTGTGTCACCCACAGCCTGGAAACGAATGAAGGGCACACTGACATTGCTTTGCATAATTAGGCAAAGGTACTGAATTATTTTTCTAAAGGTAGAACCAGAAATTTATTTTGGGGGAGGACACTGGGATTCCACAGAGATTTGGAAGTAGATGTATTTTTAATTTTATATCTTTGAATTTAACTGTGTAGTTTTTCTAACACATATATATTACAAATATATACTGTATTTCACGTAAATTAAGATGTGTTAACAGGGTGATTTAGATGCAGACTTATAGCCCATTTCTTCACTGTTTTATTTTTTATTGTGGTAAAATATATATAACATAAATTTTACCATTTTAAGAATTTTTAAAAATTTCGTAGAGATGGAGTCTCACTGTGTTGCCCTGGCTGGTTTCCAACTCCTGAGCTTAGCAATCTTCCTGCCTAAGTCTCCCAAAGTGCTGGGATTACAGGCATGAGCCACCACACCCAGCCTCGTTTTAACCATTTTTAGGAGTGCAGTGCAGTGGCATTAAGTATATTCACCGTGTTGTACAACCACCATCACCACTTCCAGAACTTGCCAAATATTCTAAGCAGAGACTCTGTCTGTATTAAATACTCATTCACTATTCCCCCCCTCCTGCCCTGCAACCTCTAATCTATTTTCTGCCTTGTGAATCCAACGACTAAGTACGCCTCAGATAAGTGGAACCAGACAGGATTTGCCCTTTTGTGATTAGCTTCCTTCATTTAGAATAATGCCCCCAAAGTTCATCCATGTAGTAGCGTGGTAAGACTTTCTTACTTAAGGCTAAATACTATGCCACTGTATGGACACACGTGTCTCATTTTGTTCATCCATTCATCGGTCAGTGGACATTTGGGCCGTTTGAGTCCCTGTTTTCGATTCTTTCAGGTGTAGACCCTGAGTGGAATGCCGGATCACACTATTTGGAGCTGCCAGACTGTTTTCCACAGTGGCCGCACCATCTTACAGCCCCACCAGCCCAGCACAGGCCCTGTCCTTTTTAGTTTAGTGTTTTCTTTCAGTGGCTGCTCAGGAGGCCGTCTGTGGGCTTCTGGCTTACTCCTGGCCCTGCCGGTATCATGCGGGCTGTGAAGTCAGAGACATGTGCTGTGCTGCCAGCGACCTTCCACAGCAGGCTGGGAAAACCCCAGCCCCAGCCCTGGCTGGTGGCAGCCCAGGTGTGGCCCAGGTGCGGCTGGGGCAGGTCTGCCAGGCCCGCACAGGCCTGGAGGCGTCTAGACAGCAGAGAAGCCTGCCCTTTGTGCACCAAGAGGGGAGGTGGCAGCCAGGGCCTCTCGGGAAAACTTTAGTGTGGCACTTACCTCAAGGGCCCCTCCCAGTGCCAGGGATTGCTGGTGACCTGCCCACGGCCGCTGTCCCCGGGGGCTGCGGTGAGGTGTGTGGAGTCTGGCCAGGGCAGCCAACATCAGCAGAGCCCGCAGCCGCGCCGCAGGCCCAAGCGGCCTCAGAAGAGCCCACGGCGAGCTCTGGGGGCGGTTCCTGCCGGCCTGGGCCTGCCCCAGGGCGGCAGAAGGTGGGAACGCAGGTGCAGCCAGTGGAGGCCGGTTCCTCCCACCTCAGCCACCAGCAGCTGTGCGAAGCCCCAGGTCCTCTGGCGTCAGGCCTGCCACTCCTGGGACCCTCAAGCCCCCTCCCAGGCTTCTGTCTGTATTTGCTCAAGGGAATACCAGTCAGGGCGGGGATGTGATAAAAGATGCAGATTCCTGGGCCACGGGCCCTGCCCTGGATTTAAACTTTGGTACTGGCCTGGAGTCCACACCGCAGAGCTGGGAAAAGCTGGCCTTGCTCTCTGGGGAGGAACTCGCAGGCAGGAGCGTGGGCCCACGCGGTGCTGGCAGGGAGAGCTCCTGCCATCAGGGGACGTTTGCAGGGGCCACAACTACCTGGCATGGGTCCAAAAGGGGAGAGAGAAAGATAGGTCCACATCGGAGCCCTCAGCCTCCCGCCTGCTCAGCCGAGGGTCCTCTAGCAGAAGGGCAGGCGGGCTCCAGAGCGATCCCACCACCCAAGTCCCCAGGGAGGCTTGCACTCCCCTGGTGACGAGCACCATGCTGATGGCCTCCCAGACCAAATGCCCACCTGGCCACTGATCCCTAGCCAGTCTCTGAATCACCTGGAAGGCAGGAGATGGCAGGACTCAGTTAAAACAGCCTCCAGCGGCTGCGTGAACCTCCAGACACCAGAAGGTACTGTGACTGCGGACATTTAGGGGCCGGCCCCAGTCCTGGCAGGTGGCTCAGTGGGAAAATCCATGCCTGGGGCTCCCTGCCCTTCTTAAGTTTTTGTTTGTGAGAAAGTGGCAGTGCCAGGCAAGAGCTTCGGCAGCCTCCCTCCCAGACTTCTCCCATCCTTTGCTGTGGACCAAGAGTATTTTCTCAAATGCATGTGAGGAAGCTTCAGCCGCCTCTTCCAACCCAGCTGTCACCATGAGGCTGGAGCTGAAGGTGGGAAGGACCTGGGCGTCCAGCCCAGGCAGGTGCAGCTGGGACGAAGTGGCCCGGTGTGGACAGGCCACAACGATCGAGGGCTCCCCGCAGAGCCAAGGGTGAGGTGCCCAGTGATGCCTCAGGGCCTGGGCTTCAAGACACTGGTCCAGATGGGATTCCTGCTCCAGCAGGTGTGCTGACAGAAACGAGAGGGGTGCATGGGCTGGGCTTCCTCCTGGAGTCTGGGAAAGGCAAAGGTTTTACCTTTTCTCTCACCGCAGTACTTACTGCAGTAACCAGGCTGAGGCAGCCCTTGAGGCTGCATCCCGGAAGGAGTGCTCAGGCCAAGGGACAGCGTCTTGCCCCCCCCACACCCTCACATGGCGAAAGCCCAACTGCTTGCCAGCCTCCCTAGAGTGGCTCAGATGAAGTGCCGCTGGGCAAGCTTTGGCTCTGGTACTGAAATACATTTTCACAGAAACTTTTTGCCCATTTTAAAGTGCAGCTATCAGATATTCTGAACTCCTAAACTATTGTATACTTTCAGTATTTCTACACTTCAGAATATAACTTTCCAGGTACATCAAATTAACATCTTGTAGCGCCTTTGACCAATTTTGTTTTAATGAGAGTTTAAGGTTAGCTGTGACATCCCCCTCACCTCCAATTAACTGTGTACTGAAAAGGCACTGCATTTTAAGACACAAGGGGGAGGGTGGGTGAAGAATCACCAGCACTAGAGCTCAAGGTGTGACACCCATGCCAGAATGCTGAAGCCAGACAGACTCAGCCGGAAATCTGGCCAGACTCTCAGGTCCCAGGGAATTTCACCATCCGAAAATGCAGGTGGATGCACCAACTCGGGGCTGAGCTTTCCCACCCCCTTAACTCCTAATACTAGGGGAAGAGAGTCTATTTATGGCAAATAATTCTGAGGCTGAATCAATACATTCTGAATGAGACCAAAAAACCAGGACTCTACTAAAGGGCTTCCGTTCTGATCACCCCAACACCGTGACTGTACAAACCAGTTTTATTAGGGAACCGCCCCAGGTGCGCCTGCTCATGCTCTCGTCACACCCGTTTCTCAGATTGGCCAGGCTCAGAGGCAAGTTACCAGCTTAGGAAAGAGGAAAACTGTTCTGCAAAATAGCAACTGTCAGCTTAAGGCATTACTAACTTTGCAGAAGGAAAGCACGGTTACTAGGGAAGTCTGGACAGCCCAGGCGATGACTTCTGGTAACAGGAAGCCCTCTGGGGCCAGACTGGGCGGCGGGTCACTCCTTCAAACCCATCCATGTCACAGACAAAACACCGTCTATTCCTTGAGCTTTTTGATTTAGAAATTAGTTATATAAAAAGTGCTCTTGGCCCAGAAGCCCTGGCGTGTGTGGGCCTCGGGGTGCTCCCGCGGTCCTCCCTGGCTGGAGCAGGAGAGGATGGAGATACATGGAAGGCTGGTCAGGCTCAGTTTAGAAATGAAGTCACAACTAGGAATCGGGAGCCAGGGGGCTGAGACCCCCGCTGCAATCACATGCTGAATCCTTGTCCTCCTGAGAGCAGGTGCCTACGGTTCCTTCAGTCCACGGAAGAGCTCAGAGCAGGGCGGGCCAGTGTGGCCCTGCAGCGGCCGCCCTCACTGCATGCCGAACCACTGCTCCTGGTCAGCCCACTGGGCCGCCTCACTGTCGCTGCCCTCCAGGTCCCCTTCTTCCCCACTCCCTTCCATGTCGTCCACATCCTCCTCCTGAGTGGCATCCGTGGGACTCTCCTCCTTCTCCATCTTCTGCATCCCCTCTAGAGACTTCTGGTCATTGGGGTCCAAACTAGGGGACAACAAAACAAAGGAGAGGCCTGAATCTCTGCCTTGCTTCTTGCCGGCTGATTCGTCATCTCCCTGGCCCGGCAGTGAAATGACCACACAGTCACAGAGAGACCGCTAATGCCCGGCCTCTCCAAACAACTCCGGCTTCCAAGGCTGGGTCGAGGGAGTCCACCACTAGAAGTGAAAAAAGGCGTCTTTTCCTAATTTTTAGAATTCTCAATTTGAGTTTTCTCCACAAATTTCTTAAACCTTTTCACATCTATTACCCCTAGCGTTCTGCTAGAGGAGGCTCCCAGATAACATTAATGAAAAAGTTGCAAACAAACATTAACAGGCAAATTTAAATGTAATTCCCTGAAAGTTGGGTTTTTGAGCTATGGGGTTACAAAAAGTAGTTATTGTTCTGTGAGTATAACTGTTCCATGTTCTTACAATATAATTAAACATATCAGCATTTCAGTAGTCAGCCCAAAACATCACACTCTACCATGGAACACATTTTTAACCTCTACGTTAGACCCCAGAACCCGAGGCTACCTCTGAATATTTGCATTTAGCAGCTAGAAGTCAACATTTGCCAATCCCCCAAAGTTCAGAAGCTCCAGAACATTCATTTGTTTGTCTCCTAACCCATCTTTCCTCTTGCTTTCGTGATCATTACACAAGCCTCAGCCATCCCATCCCTAGCAAATCCCACTTCTAATGAAAGTCTGGTATTTATTTTTTTCCCTTGCTTCTGGGGCTTCTAAAAAGCAGCTAAAACCCTCGTTGGAATTGTTTCTACTTATATAAATGCAGATCTGTAACATCTCCTCATCTCTGAAGCTCTTACCCACACCCAGGGGCCCCCACCCTTTGGACTCCCACCTTGCCTTCTACAGACTGCTATGAAAGCCCTTAGCACGAGGTACGGTCAGTCTGCACGTCTGAGACTGACAGCTCCCGGAAACGCAGCATCCCCGAGGGTCACTCAGATGCCAGGCACATGAGTGGTGCTCAACTGTCTGCTGAACAAGTAAACGGACGTGATCAGAGTCATTAAAGACAGCCCTTGACCATAACCTTACAGACACACAGACAACCCTCAAAGAAATCACTTCTCTATTAAACAGTAAGAATACCACTATTTATTTAGTATTTACTATGTACCAGGCACAGTGCTAAGAGCTTTACATGGAATAATCATTTTAATCCTCAATCATTCAATATCTAATAAGGTAGATAGATATAGACAAGGAAATTTGTTAGTAACTTGCCCAAGATGACAGGTGGTGAAGGTAGTAATCAAACTTCAGAGTTCAAGTTCTTAACTACTACAGTAGGTAGAAACATGGGAAGTACTTACAATACTTTGATTTGAAAAAGCAGAATATAAAATATAGACTAGGTATAACCCTATAAAAATATGTGTATGTGTGGGCAAGGACAGGAAGATGATCTATACAAATGAACAAGGATGTTATAGAGGTGTGGGCTGGTTATGAGTGAAACAGTTCTTCAATGTTGTTAATATACTTGAAGAAAAAATTTTTAGAAGTCACGAATTCACAAATAACTCTTCTATCGTTACGGTTATTATTCTGTTTTCAATCGTGGGCACAGAGTGTCTGTGTGTCTCCAGAACGCCTGTGACAGCTCACTGCCTCCTCTGCCCTCCTTATCGACCTTCCCCCATGGGAGGCCGGGTGCCTACCTTAGTGCTATACTATACTGGTCCATTGCTTCCTGATACTCATTGACAGCTACAAGGAAATCTCCAAGGATCCGATGCAGGACACAGTCACTCTGATTAGCCAGTGCATTCCTCAGCAAAGCAATTCCATCTTCATATTTCTGTTCTCTGCCTGGAAAAAAAATGACCCTCATTTTCCTAGTTTCAACATTTTGAAAATATATTCCCATTCTAAGTCATATACACAAAACCACACCTCGCACAATCTGACAATGGCAGTGACATACAAAGTGAAAGCAAGTGCATCTGAGTTCCTACCCAATTGGAAAATTTGCAGATTAAATTATGATTTTTAAAAATGTACTCTTAACCATAATTCAAATGAAAAGCCAAATTGCATTTTATTTGCCAAACTAGCCCAAACCCAGGAGTTAATAAGTCAGGACTAAACAAACAAGACTCAAAGGGAAGTCAAAAGAGAATTCAGATGGTTTAAAACAGTTCAAACTGGCTAAAACCAGTTAGTTATATTCAACCCAAATCAGTTCAGGATAACTTAAACCAGATAAAAGTGAGCTGAACAGGTACCAACAAATAATAGCTGGTTTGAGCTAAGCCAAGCAGGTCTAAGCCAGCTACATTTGGCTGTGCTAAATATAAACCAATTCAAGCAGGCTCAGACCTGCTGCAAAAGGCACACACCTGTCTGGTCATCTGTAACCAGCTGGGACTGAGGAGTCCAAAAGAGATCAGGTTTCATAAAACTTAATGAGGAACAGGGCAGAAAATAAGACACACTTACTAAGTAGTTCTGCTTTTTTCACCACAGCCTTAATGTAATCCGGCCTTTGGGTCAGGGCTTTATCTAATAAAGTTTTGGCTTTCTCTTGTGTCACTGGGTCTTCAAGACAAACAGTGGCTAAAAGGGTAAGGGTCTGTGCATTGGCTCCTAACGTTTTGTAGACGTTGTTAGCCATCACCATTGCTTCCCGAATACTGTTGGAGGCTAAGTAACATTCGATGAGACCTGAAAAAACAACACACAAAGTAGTTCAACCATATTACCAGTCCAAGCCATGCTTCTACTCTGACAGCCCTCCAAATTGCAAACCTTTGAAGTTTCAGACAAAGGGCAGGCCAGGAGAAAACTTGGATGGTGAGATGAGACTGGAGGGTATGCTGACGGACTAGCTAAAAAGTGTTCTTCCCCAGAGCACTTGACAGACATGGAAAAAGCCTGCCCTGCAGAGGCACCTTCGGTCAGGGAAGGAACAAGCATGCGTGAGGAAACTGCAGCATGTGAGCTGCCCATCTGACTACCAAACGAACAATCATGACACTAATGATTAGTATGTCATATGGCCAAGAGATTAAACTAGTGAGAGATGTTTCCAACCAAAACCAAGGTTTCACTGCCTCTTATGCTGTTATTCTTCAGCTGTGTTCAGTCGCCTGTTTAAGAGGGGGGACTAACATGAACGTCCAGTTCTACAAAGGAAAAGGGCCTGTCAAGCAACGTAAGGAGAAAAGAAGACTCTTTCATTTGAAACACACTTATCTCAACCCTATAGTTACACAACTATTAGGTACCCATAATAATTAAAAATTCTTTAAAAAATTAAAACATAACAGTTATCTCAAAAGGCTGGAGGCTTTCCTAAATTAGAAGAACAGCACTTAATCAGACGGACTGAAAGTACTGAAAATGGCAGCTCCTGCCTCTCTTCCCACCCACAAAGGAGATGCCCTATGGGGCCACCACAAGAAGTCAACTCTCAACTCTTCATGCCAGTAAGTTCAGAACAGAGGAAGAACTTTTTAGCACAAGGCACTTATCAAAACAGAAAAACAGCTTAAACCCCAAACCCACACAATCCCTGCCAGATTTTCTCTGCATACTCCTCCACCCTAGCAGCTTTTATAACATTCATGCACACACTATGGTTACCTAACTAGACATTACCTAACTCTTAAGGCAATGTGTTGGACTCCAAGTACGGTTTACTTCCCTGCTAAAGCCCCCTAGAACTTCAGAAGGAAATGGAAAGAGTACTACTCCACTAACCCAAGGGCTCCACCAGCAAAGTAAGGAAGCTCCGCTGGAGACTGCAAGAAGGATTGGAGAACATAAACAGAGCCCTCTTGATCCAAACCTCCACATGGCAGCTTGAGAAGGCAGCTTGTGAGCCCTCACAGGCCAAGCAGGGCACATCCTCTGCCCAAACACTGTGCAAAGGGGTTACTCAACTTATCTCTTGCTCTGGCGAAACAGGCACGCAACAGAATGGAATCAGCATGACAAAAGCAGTTAGGAGGCTAGGGAAGTTATAGTTTCAGGATCAAGAATTAATCTAAACTAAAGGCTTGGTTTACTGGAGATTAAGAACAAAGACAATCTTCCTTCCTCCAACAAAGCCACCACAGGCATAGGCTCTCTGGCTATATAAGCAGATTTGTTCTCTCCCCCAACTTCCAAATTTTATTTCTCAAATTTGAACTCATCTTCCTGTTACCAGCAAGTCACTTCTAGATTCCGGAGTTTATTTTTAAATCCTTATAAAAATATGTTTTGGAGGAACTGCATCTTTTAAGATCTATTTTAATGTCTATGACTGAGTCACCAAATGTTGCTGAAGCTGGCATAGCTCCTTTGAACTCCTAGGGTCAGTTCACATGAACTTAAAATATTTTATAACAAAACAAAGTTGGAGCCTGATTCTGCCCACTGTGGGGGTCACAATGAACACACGGGTTCTCACAACCAACACTGTAATATGGATGTGGAGTTACCCTATGAGTAATATCTCTGGCCCAAGGTAAGATGACTGTGAAGAATAAAGACATAACCAAGTGATCTAGAATGGTGCCTGGCAAAGATTCAGGAAAAAAAGACTATCCCAACCACCTTTTCATCAAAAACAAAAAAAAAAAAACCAAAAAAACACAAAACCACCACCACAAAAAGGGAATGAGAAAAATGGATTCTGAAAGCATGGGGTAAAAAACTCCAATGAAACCCCTAAATGAATGTAAAATGCCTAATGCAATGGTTTCCAAACTTGTTCACACACTGGCAATACCTGGGATCTTTAAAAAATACCGATGCCTATCTCCCTACCCCACAGATTCCATCATCTATACCAGAAAGACCCAGCATCAGGATTTTTGAAAGGTTCCCAGATGACTCTGATGTACAACGGATCTTGGGAAGTGCTGGCCTAAAGAAACCTTCCATCTGAGTGCTGTTGCCACCCTAGGGATTCACACCATTCATGTATATTTTCTATCTTACCTTCATAACAATCTAAGCGACAAGGTGCCAGCCGTATGGCCTCCCGAAAATGTATTATTGCTTCTTGGACTCTGCCCATGTTCCTAAGTGCTGCTCCCTTAAGTAGCAAAGCTTGAACACTATTACTATTCAGCTGAATGGCTTTGGCTCCTAAATAAAGGGCCCGAGAATAGCGTTTGCTATAGAAGCTGTGACACCTGGAAGAAAAAAAACCACCAGAAGTTATCTGAGAGAAGGCTAGAAAGAAACTTTACCTAAAGTATCTAAAACTCAAAGGGAAGGCCCTATGCATGATTGTTGTTATAAACTACACTTAAGCTTTAACCTAAGAGATTAGGGGAAAAGTAAAACAAACCAAAACACCTACCCTTTATTTTTAAGGGGGAAATCTTGATGTGAACAAAATAATTATGAAAAAGAACCTTATGATCTGGACATGTTATTAGCTGAGAGACACTCAGAGAATTTGCAAAGCCAAGTCAACAGCAAAGGAGCATCCTTTGGTCCCATCACAGATGGCCCAGTGCTAAGCACAAAGCATTCACTATATCAATCAATGCTCACTTCTAGAAGTAGAGGTTAATAGCTCATTTTCTAAATGAGAAAACAAACTCAGGGAGGTATGTGTTTGTTTTTGAGACACAGGATCTCGCTCTGTTGCCTAGGCTATAGTGTGGTGGCATCATCATAGCTCGCTGCAACCTCAAATGCCTAGGCTCAAGCAATCCTCCCGCCTCAGCCTCCTGAGTAAACTGGGACTACAGGTGGGCACCACCGCACCTGGCTGATTTTTCTGTTTTTGTTTTTTGTAGAGACAGGGTCTATGTTGTTCAGCCTGGTCCCAAACTCCTGACTTCAGGCAAACCTCCTGCCTCAGCCTCCCAAAGTGGTAAGATTACAGGCCTGAGCTACTGCACCTGGCCCAGAGAAGTAAATAGTGCAAAGTGACCATGATTTGAATCCAGGACTGATTACCTCTTAAATCTGTGTTCAACCTATAGTCTCTTCAGGAGGAACTACAATCTCTCAAAGAATCTACTGAAAACTGGGGAGAAAAGGAAACACATCAACATACCCGGAGACCACCCACGGTTCTGCATGCTGATCGGAAATATTGAAAAGGCGGCAGCCAAGGTTCTCCACATCCTCCAGCCGCCCTTCTCGTGCCAGCAGGTAGCCATACACATCCATGCCTAGACAGGAAGGTCACAGGAAGAAGCAGCTCTTTAAACAAAGCAGCAATGGCCCTTTACACAGGAGCAGAATTCGATGTCAGATCCCATGACGAGGCCCCAGCTCCTGTGGGGGCTGAGCCCTTCCCACCACCACAGGCTTCCCCCCCCACTAGTATTTCCAGTTTCCTACAAAATAACTATTAAAAAAGCAAAATCCATCCCTCCCCCCGAAAAAAGCAAAGGAGCAAAAAGACCCACCTCACACACAATGTGAAAGCCTGTTATTTTCAGGAACTCTTGTCCCTCTATTTTGTGGCATGATATACAGCTATCCTAACTCAACCAGAAAAGGCCCCAAAAAGGTATAAAGTTCTCTAAGAACTCTAGGTTGTCAAGAGTATATACATTTACTATGCTGAAAAAGCCAAGTAGTCTCAAAAAAAGTTGGCCTATTCCAGAAAAGGCTGGGAGTTCTTTTCTGGAATGCAGTTCATCAAAGCTCAAAGTCTTCCAGACCCCCCACTTCCTTTTTTTTTTTTGAGACAGATTCTCACTCTGTTGCCCAGGCTTGAGTGCCGTGGCATCAGCTAGCTCACAGCCAACCTCCCTCCTGGGCTCCAAGTGATCCTTCTGCCTCAGCCTCCCCCAAGTACTGGGACTACAGCATGTGCCACCATGCCTGCTAATTTTTTCTATATATTTTTAGTTGGCCAATTATTTTCTTCTATTTTTTTAGTAAGAGACCTCTTGCTCTTGCTCAGGCTGGTTTCAAAACTCCTGACCTGAGCAATCCCCCACCTGGCCTCCCAGAGTGATAGATTACAGGCGTGAGCCACTGTATCCGGCCCATTCTCATTCTTTAGAAGGACCTTGCTTGCTGCCACCATTCTTGCCACCATTCCATTCCTTGCTATCCTCATTCAGACTCCAGGAAAATTTCTCTCAAGCAAGATTACTACAATACGGCTGGTTGCCCTGTACTCGAGTCTGAGCTTCAACTTCAAATTGCCCCAACTTCTGCCCAGATCAGTACTTCTAACACCATTTTCGAAATAGTGCAGGCAGCTTGAAAAAGAAACATTGAGCAAGAAAAAGATCTTTGTGCAAAACAACCATCTTTCATACCTTCTTCCTCATCTGTAAGCTTGGAAAGGACTCCTAAGAGCCCATGAGACTGTTTATTGTCACAAACCTATTTTTTTTTTTGATGCACATTTTTGGCCTGTACAAACAGACATCAGCCTATCTGACCTTACTTCCCACTACCCTTGAGCATCCCTGCGCGGCCTCCTGCCACCCTTTGGGGATCCTGTGGCAAACCTTTTGGCTGCAATCTTCTTCAGATCAATGATTTTGCCATTGTACACTCCTAATTACGCCTTTAATCTCCTTATCCTTTTCTCAGTAATCGTTCACTCATCCTCCTTTAATTATACTACGAAATAGTCAAACTAAATTCCCTAAATGATATTAACAGTTTTTGAGGATGCCATCAAATTCTCAAGTCAGGCACATCATCAATTTATAAATCATAAGGAGGGGCTGTGACTCCCCCAAAAAAAAGTCAATAATGACTGTGAGAGATTGACCACTTGAAGCAAAAACACTGTTCAAAATGGAATTACCTAAGTGTTAAGACATGTGTCAAGACTTTAGAAAAAAAATAAATACTGTAATAAGCTTTAACAAACTAGCCAGGCCAGTGGCTCACGCTTGTAATTATCCTAGCCTTTGGGGAGGCGAGGCGGGAGGATCGCTCAAGGGTCAGGATTTGAGACCAGCCTGAGCAAGAGTGAGACTCTTCTCCACTAAAAATATAGAAGAAATTGGCCAACTAAAAATATATAGAGGCCGGCGCTGTGGCTCATGCCTGTAATCCTAGCCTGGAGGCCGAGCGGGCGATGGCTCAAGGTCAGGAGTTTAAACCAGGCCTGAGCAAGAGCGAGACCGTCTCTACTATAAATAGAAAGATTAATTGGCCAACTGATATATATAATAAAAAAAAATTAGCCGGGCATGGTGCGCATGCCTGTAGTCCAGCTACCGGAGCTGAGGCAGAAGATCACTCGAGCCCAGGATTTGAGGTCGCTGTGAGCTAGGAGCCACGGCACTCACTCTAGCCTGGGCAACAAAGCAAGACTCTGTCTCAAGAAAAAAAAATAATATATATATATATATATAGAAAAAATTAGCCAGGTATGATGGTGCATGCCTGTAGTCCCAGCTGCTCGGGAGGCTGAGGCAGTAGGATCACTTGAGCCCAGGAGATTGAGGTTGCTGTGAGCTAGGCTGATGCCACGGCACTCAGTCTAGCTTGGGCAACCAAGTGAGACTTGACCTCAAAAATAAAAATATAAATAATAATTAAATAATAAATAAATAATAGTAAGTTAAGTAGTAAAGTAAGTAAGTAAGTAAGTAAGTAAGTAAGTAAGTTAGTTAGTTAGTTAGTTAGTTAGTTAGTTAGTTTAACAAACTAGGCCGGGCGTGGTGGCTCATGCCTGTAATCCTAGCACTCTGGGAGGCTGAGGCGGGAGGATAGCTCAAGGTCAGAATTTCAAACCAGCCTGAGCAGGACGAGACCCCGTCTCTACTAAAATAGGAAGAAATTAATTGGACACTAAATATATATAGAAAAATTAGCCGGCATGGTGGAGCATGCCTGTAGTCCAGCTACTTGGGAGCTGAGGCAGAAGGATTGCTTGAGCCTGGGAATGTGAAGTTGCTGTGAGCTAGGCTGATGCCATGGCACTCAAGCCCAGGCAACAGAGTCAGACTCTATCTCAATCAATCAATCCATCAATCAATAAATAATAAGTTTTCCAAACTATTTCCATGAAAATTGGTTATCAGTTCATGCTCCATTTCCTTCCTATCTTCCTTGCCCTAAACAGCCACCCTCTCTCTGCCCCAAGAATTATTTACCTTTTATCAGATAAGGATCCAACATCTGTGCCTGTTCAAACTTGAGGACAGAGTTCTTATTGTCTCCAGCTCTGAAGTACAGGTCTGCTAAGCTTCCCAGTAGGTCCACGTTATCTCGCAATAAGGACTTTTTCTCTAGTGAACTGTAAGATATCAAACACTAAACCTTAAAATTGATTATAAATCCTCTTGATTGTTGATTCTGATTGGGCATATAGACACTACTTTCTTTTGTGTATGTGTAAAATGTGTCATAACAAAAAACTTTAAAATGAACTGTGCACCACAGATTTTATTTTGAGCCTATCTAAAAAACTATAGGATAAGACAGCAAATACATGGAGTAAAGCAGAAATGGCTCATTACGAACAAAGAACTTTCAGGTTGCAGTGTTTCAGGGGACAATGGTGTTAAAGGTAATGTCATTCACAAGTGACAGATACTTATTACTCAACGGAGTACTTTGCACAACACAATCCCTAGCCTCTTATCCTTGGACTTTAACTAAATAAAAAGAAAATCCCAGTCTTTTTGTTATGACAAGGGGCCCATTCATCCTCTGTGGTAAACATATCTTGCTCTTGCTCTGTAAACCTATCTTGTCCTTCCCTCAATAAATTTTGTTTCACACTTAAAAAAAAAAGAAAATCCCATTCCTAAGAAGAATACCTAGGTCAGATGCTACAATAAACTATGTTTCAAGGATGGCAGAGTGGGGAAGGATCCAACAAAGTTTTCTTCTAGGTTCCAGAATGACACACCAAGGCAGTGTGCTTTACAAGTCATTGCCTTTGCATGCACAGAGTTTATATGCAGCCCAAGTTTATAATTTTAAAGGTCCCCAACAGAGATTATTACGTTGGGGATCATTCAGTACATTAAAAGACTAACATAGCCTGGAGACAACTGGCTACAACACCAAGAGACAGGCATCTCATTTTTCTGTTTTGCTGACTGAGATACATCAGATCTCCAGACAGGGAAAGAGTCTCAAGAACACTGAATCAGGCCAGGCGCGGTGGCTCACGCCTATAATCCTAGCACTCTGGGAGGCCAAGGCGGGTGGATTGCTCAAGGTCAGGAGTTTGAGACCAGCCTGAGCAAGAGAGAGACCCCGCTCTACTTAAAATAGAAAGAATAATTGGCAACTAATATATAGAAAAAATTAGCCCAGGGCATGGTGGAGCATGCTGTAGTCCCAGGCTACTCTGAGCTGAGCAGGAGGATTGCTTAAGCCAGGAGTTTGGAGGTTATGTGAGTGAGGCTGACACCATGCACCTAGCGCCCAGCAATAGAATGAGACTATCTCAAAAACAAAACACTGAATTAACTTTGTGGCACTCACCAATAGTACTTGATTGCTCTTGAGTTGTCCCCAGTGGGGTGCCCCACAAAAGCATATGCTTTTGGATCCACACAGAAGAGCCATCCAGGTAGGCCACAGTTGATCACGTTCATTTCCATTGAGCCCCTCTCCACCTTTACAGAAAGGACAGCAAACCTAATCCAACAGAAACCAGGAGAAGTGGGTGAGGCATCAGCATCTCTCTTCCACAATCAAGAAGCAATGGTTCTATTTTTCCCTGGGCACAAGGCAACCCTTCCTTATTCGAAAGCAAGATGAGTATACAGAAGACATATTATAAATTTCTTGATCAAATATGTGATAACATAATCCACTAAATGATCACTCTCTGGTGAAACTTTTTAAAAATAAGCTTTTTAAGTATCCAAGATTGAGAACTACTCCTTTGCAGCTAAACACTCCATGAAACACAAAAATGTCTATACCTAGAGGCACCCAAGGCTAAATGGGTCACTGCCTTAGCACTATCCTTATAGCTGGACCGAAGGCGCGCTGCTACCACCTTCTGTAACAAGTTTGCCACACATGTTATATCGAGACACAAACGGTGGATAGTAAATAAGCATACAATGCAAAGGAAAATATTCATCATGAAAGCCCTATGTTCATGACCAGCTACTATACCACTTTTACCTGAAACCCTACTCACACCCAGGGGGGGGGGGGTGTGGGGGGGGTGGGGGGGGGGGGCAAGTAAGGAAGGGCAAACCCATTCTTCAAAGAAATAAGAAATTATTAAATGCCTCCTAGTACTCCCATCCCCTAAGAGGGAGGTCACATTACTTTCTCACTTACCTAACCTCAAAAGGGCAGTAAATACTGGACCAAAGATGCTGACTCTGAAACAGGAATACATTCACTAAGAAATGCTCACAGAATGCTAGTTACCCTTTGATTTTTCTTGATCTTGGAAAAGGTAGAAGGTAGCTAACCTCGAAGCTGGCTCACGTTGACTGCAATCTTATAAATTTGTTAATATTAAGGTATGATGACATGAGGAACTCTTGACATGCAGTTTAGAGAGGAATGATGAGTTTTCCCAAAAGGAAACTTAGACAGCACGGACAGACACCAGAAGTACATACACTTGGCTTTTCTCTGATAGATTAGACTTGGGCTAGAACTCCTAGCCCTTTCTGACACTTAAAGCTTAGACTCATACGTACGTAACTCGCCAAAGTAATGTTACAAAAACTCAAACTGATCTCCAGAGATATTATGATCCAGAATCAGATACACTATTAAACACTAGTGCAGACATCTTGCACTGTTGCACATTAAATATGAACTTAGAGAAAGCTACTTTAAAATAATCCGTACCTAGAAAATCACTGGAAAATTTGAGAAACGCAAAGTCCAAAAGAATTGTAGAAATTATAGAAGAAGATAAATACCTTCTTGATAGTACAAATATAGAAATAAATATTCCCAATTAAAATTATTAATCTTAAACACAAACAGTTTTTGCTGATACAAGTTTGCCAGCATCATGTTAATCTTACAAGAGCACAACGGTGGATAGTAAAATAAGCTAAATGCAAAATCTCATCATGAAGCCTGATGTTCATTACTCAGCTACTATACCACTTTTACTGAAAACTCCTACTCACAAGTCCGCTATAGAGGGTTTTCTCATTACAACTAGGTTAAACTCATTAACCTAAGGAAGCATCAATGTAGGGCACAAAAAAAAAAACGTCAACCCCATCTCTTTAATTTATCTATGGCTGGTATGCCAGATCACTACTAGTCAACAGAAAGATAGTATCTGAACCATGAATCACCATCTTCCAATTAACTACAGTTATATAAACAATCTGTACAGCATCCAATCACACACTAATACAAACAACGAAATAAGAACTTAGCAAATAAACTATTTTTCATTGGCCTCGGATTCCCATCATATTAGGCATATTTGAAAATGTCAAAGGAAGGACATTAAAGGAAAACTCCAGTATCGTGTCACATCCATTAAGAGAATAAAGTTAACACTTAGATTCTTCTTGACTGCTAAGTTACAACAGACTGACTGATGGACCTATCTGCCTCAACAAATTTCCTTAAGTTACTTGACTTCACTTTGAACAGACAATGAATTTTGAGTCTGCCAGTGAGAGAGTCCAATTTTTTCTAAAAACAGACGCCTTATTTTTTAAAAACAGAACATCATATAAAGCCACGTTCCACAGTTATAAACATAAGCAGTCATCCATTTTCAAAAACTGAGTGAAAAAACTCGTCAGGTTGAGAAGTTGTTGCTCCATACGTATGAAATTCCACCAGATTTTATAATCTAACACTGGAATTTCCTTAAATGTGAGGGAATGTGTGGCGGTGTTTACCATACATAAACATGACTGTCATTTAGACGTAATTTTGACTCACTTCCTTGCCCCTTTTACACAGACGAGAAGCCAGTTATACTTCCCCTACACGGACAAAAGAGAAAAACTGTAAATATTTACCGTTTATGTTTTGAGGCACAATCTTTGCTTGCTCCTAGCTAGCAGGAGCTTACCAGAATGAAGGATATGTTTCTCCTAACAAATTGCAGACTTCTCCACACTCCCTCTAAAACGACGGCCGCATTAAATACAAGCTGGATACTATACAAGCTGAGCGTCTTGTGCCATTCGCATCTTCCAAAAATGCCCAAGACCACCCACCCAATCATTACAAAGAAATTTATGGTACATCTTCAATGGATATTTAGTGATAGTAACTTTCAAAGTTTATTGTCAAATGCCTCTCTTTCAAAAGGAAAGACCCCTTGCGAGCACAAAACTATCTTCACACATCGCAAAAACAAATATTCTTGGGGTAAACAAGAGGACTTTCATAGTGTTAACCAGAACACAATTTAGTATACAGCATCACAATTATTATATACCGGTTATATCATAACATACTTCCAAGGGGATTTTGTTTTAGCATCCCAAGGATCCCCTCAAACTTCTAAGTATTTGTCTAACAGCAGCCACCATCACAAAAACAACGTACGAAATCCTTTAGTTTAAAAACTCAGAAAACAGTAAATAACTCCTCAATATGAGCCTGTCTGAAACATGTTCTCATCCAAATGTGGTTACTTTAAAATTCAGCACACATTGGATAAAACGCACAAATTAAACATAACAACTAGGCATCTTCGCTGCTTAGATTACTTTTTAACAGGAAGGAGGATTTACGTTACACTCTTCCTATAAAATTACGTTTTTCCAATTGAAGGAGGAGCGGCAAGGTGACAGACAAGAATAGTTTAATACTTTAAATACCGACCATGGATTCAGGCTTAAGAGCAAAGATTCTCACTGTTCTAAACCGGGCTTCAAAAAAACCTGATCAGATGCCTAGTGAATACTTTAAAATCTTTAAACAAGTATTGTCACATACCTTTTTAGATTTACAAGTTAACAAGAACATCATTGATAACCATCACCACTCTGAACGTGCCCAATCCTTGTCTGATCTCAGAAGCTAAGCAGGGGTCAGGCCCTGGGTTGTAGTATTTGGATGGGAGAAAATACTAATCTCCTTTTAACAAATAAAAGAATAAAGCAGCGCTCAGAGATTGGAACTTGCCCAATTTCACACGCACACAACTTATGCCCCAAACTGAAACAAGACTCAGATCCTTTGATTTCAAGTTAAAGGTGTTCTCCTTGGCTACCAAGTGTCAATCAAACACAAGTACATAATATCACACCATAAAAAGCAAAGGGATCTTGTAGACTAATTTTGATAAAATGATTGGCATTAATAAAACTATTCCATTAGCCAATGGTACACCCTATTACAAAAATAAGTTCTCACAAAAGTGTTTGCACTTTAGAACTGTTGTAAATAAATATTTCCTACAGTAAGAAACACCAAAGAATAAGCACTTGTAGTAATCTCAGCTTTCTTTCATCCAGCTGAAATTCAGGATTCATAAATGACTCTTTATCTTCCAAAACCCCTCTCCATTAACAGGAAGAGCAAGTAGCATCGACTATACATCCGAGTAACAATGCTCATGATGGGCCCTCCCCTGATGCACGTTTATGAAAAAACAGTACATGAGGAGCAGCGTTGGGGAGCTGGAGGAGAAAAACACATAAACCTTCTCAAACTTACTTAGGAGTTCTCTGTCTGGAAGGGTCCCATCCAAGTCATAGCAATGGCATCTATGTGTTTTAGCATGGTATCACGCATCTCCAGGCATTTTGTATTCCACTCGATTTCAGATGGAAGACACAAGGATATGACAACATCATCTTCAAATAATGATTTCGATAGAAGGTAGGCTCCTTAAAATGTTAAAAAAGTTATGCATATGACCCAGCAGTTCAACTCCTCAGGTATAGAGCCACAAAACTGACAAACATCTGTGTCACACAAAAAACCTACACAGCATGTCAAAAAGATTAATCGTTTTATTATTCTATTTGACAGGCCGTCGCTCTGTCCCTCAGGCTATAAGTACGTGCATGATGCATTTATTTCCTGGTAGCTCCATTGAATCCCAGGCCCCTCCAAGTGAACCCCTGCCCTTCAGCCACCCCTACCGTATTAAACGTACGAACTACAGATGTGCCAGCACCCATGCTGGCTAATTTTCTTTTTGTTTTTGAAGAGATGAGGTCTTGCTATGTTGGTCAAGCGCTGGTCCAAACTCCTAGCCTTAAGGCAATCCTTTACCCACTTCAGGCCTTCCCCAAAGCCCTAGGATCGATTACATGGTGTGGCCAGCCACAATCCCACTTGTTCCACATATTTCTTCAATCCACAGTTGATTGAATGCACCAGAATATCCGAAACGAGATCTCATCTCAAAGCGCAAATTCCGGC